CACACCCCCTCGGCCACCCCCACCATCACCATCTCCACAGCCGCCTCCACCATCACCACCACCACGGCCACCCCCACCATCACCATCTCCACGGCCACCCCCACCATCGCCACCACTGCCACCCCCACCATCGCCACCACTGCCACCCCAACCATCCCCACCACCGTCTCCACAGCCAACCCCACCATCGTCTCCAGAGCCATCATCCAGGCGGCCCAGGCGGCCTCCTCTAGGGCAGCCACGATTTCCACGGCAGCCACGATCTCCACGGGATTTGTCTCCACAGCTACCACCCCCACCTCCGCAGCCACCATCACCATCCCACGGCCACCCCACCTCACCACCACCACTGCCACCTCACCATCACCACCTCCACGGCCACCCCCACCATCACCACCACCACTGCCACCCCCACCATCACCATCTCCACGGCCACCCCCACCATCACCATCTCCACTGCCACCCCCACCATCACCACCACCACTGTCACCTCCACCATCACCATCTCCACGGCCACCCCCACCATCACGCCCATCATCTCCACAGCCAACCCCACCATCGTCTCCAGATCCATCATCCAGGCGGCCAAGGCGGCCTCCACGGCAGCCACGATCTCCACGGGATTTGTCTCCACAGCTACCACCTCACCTCCCACCACGGTCACCCCGCCGCCAGCTGCAATCTCCACCACCCCCACCCCCACCCCCACCATCACCACCACCACTGCCACCCCCACCATCACCATCTCCACGGCCACCCCCACCATCACCATCTCCACTGCCACCCCCACCATCACCACCACCACTGTCACCTCCACCATCACCATCTCCACGGCCACCCCCACCATCACGCCCATCATCTCCACAGCCAACCCCACCATCGTCTCCAGATCCATCATCCAGGCGGCCAAGGCGGCCTCCACGGCAGCCACGATCTCCACGGGATTTGTCTCCACAGCTACCACCTTCACCTCCACCACGGTCACCCCGCCGGCAGCTGCAATCTCCACCACCCCCACCCCCACAGCTGCCACCATCTCCATGGCCATCACCTCCAAATCTACCATTGCCGCCACCCCCGCCGCGGACACGACCTGGCAGAGCGCCATCAGGTCTCAGAGCATCACGGGACAGTGGACCACCAGCCCCAGGTATTACCCTTCCAAGCTCAAGTCTCGAGCAAGCATCTGTTGTTTGTTTGTTTTGTTTTCTTTTCTTTTGTGGGACAAACTATAGAAAAGATTTGCATCGAGTTGTAGTACAAGTGGTGACATCTAGAGTTACCCATTGAGACAAGTGATTTCGTTAAGTAGTCACAGTGGAATCCACTTGGGCCTCCTGCCGACGAATCCACCCCCAGTAAGACTGGGCGGCGTGATGTTCAGATGACCGCAATCCAAACACGAATTACTCGTGATCGGTTGAGCAGACGAACCAGGGATGAAGGCCCCAGCTTTATTCAGATAAAGCCCCCGCCATATGCAGGTTTGGACTTGTGCATATCTGCAGCAGGGCTGCATTAACAATATTCGTTTACTAGTATCCGTATTAGTTAGACCTGTAATACAGTCAGCAAATATAAACAGGTTTTAGTTAATTACCACAGAGTTTAAATAAGCCATGCTGGACAGTTAGGCAACAGAACCGCAAGCTTAGCAGAAAGCTTACAGTATACAACAACTGCGACCCCTAGATGTGACATCCCCAACACATAGCGATGGCCATGCAAAACAAGATTGGGCCATATCAGCTACCGTGCTGCATCTTTAGACTGAGCCTCATCACGTAATGGTTCTAAGTCAGGGGTGAAGTTGAGCGCTGGTTCCCAGCTATTAAGCTTAGATCTGTACCCAACCCACTTGACGAAGTACTTGTGAACAGTGTGCTTACGCCTAGCCTTACCCATGCGCCTGGTCTAATAGTCCAAAGTGTGTTCAATGTCATACATCATGGTGTTGTATCACGTCTGTCACCGACAAGTCGGGTGTCGGCTTCCTCGAGGCCAGAAAAAGGACGGGGGCCCCCTGCATCTGTACAGGCCGCTAGCTACGGTAGTGTCAACATGGTGGGAGCTGTGCTTGTTGCAGCAGTGCTGATGCTGTGGAAGCTATGCTTGTCAGAGCGCGTGAGGCAGGAAGCAGGGCCTCATAACCTGTTGAAGAGACGGTGTCTCTCTGGAACCTAGCAGACACCGCTAAGAGTCATTGGCCGTTACACGTAGCCTGGAGGTCCGCGACCTTCCACCGACAGCCCCTTGCTTGGGCGTAAACTTATGAGTCAGCAGGGGCTCGGCCGCCAAATCCGCGGTCCAGGCCGGCTGCTCAACGCCCAGCAGACACAATCGCAGCTTGCCAGCCTTCAGGCTGTTGGCTTTGCGGTCTGGTGCCGCAGCCATAACATACTCGGAAAAACAGCGCCGTACAGCATCGTATGCACTGCCTACGGCGCCCCTTCAGGCATTGACCCGTCTGCTCACGCGCCCTTGGCGCCCACCTCAAAGCCTAGCTCGACAGACTTCCCAAAAGCCTGCAGCACTTTCTGGTGACCACCAAGTAGTAGTTGTGGACCTGTTGTGGCAAAAGCACCAAGCACTGCCAGAACAAGTACAGACCCACGGTATGGATGAAACAAGGACATTTGAGAAGTAGGATGGATGTGCAAATCAGAGGGCAGTTCGAACAGCAACCGTACCGACCATGCACACAACAGGATAAGGCCCAACCCAGCGTGGCAACAGCTTACGAGACCCTTTGGCCAGAGAACGCAGGTTCTCGGTACTCAGCATGACCAGCTAGCACTTAGTGAAGGTGATGTCCCGTTTGGACTTGTTGTAGTGTGTATAGTCTGCAGTGCGCTGTTGAGCTGAGTCCAGGCAGGCCTTAGCATCGGTCAGACAGGATACAAACAACTTGGCAAACATTTTAGCAGCGGGTACATTAACATGAAGCTCACATGAAACAGGCAGAATAGGAATGTGCCCATAGTTCAGGAAGAAAGGGCTTTGGCCAGTCGAACGATTAACGGTGTCATTTATTGTGAACTCAGCTTTTTTTAACATGTTGCCTAGGGTTCAATAAGTAGGCTCGATCTTACCATCAGGCCGGTTATGGTTAGCAGTAGAGAAGTTTGTCCGCATGCCTACCAGCTTCCCCTGGGTGCCCCAGGCCTAGGATTTAATAGTAAACTGTCTACAGTAATCAGGCATGGCATTCTTGGAAACACCGTGCAGACACACAACGTTGTCAAAGAAGAAACAGGCAGTATATTCTACGGATGCATATCCCCTGATATGCGTCAATTATCCCCACACTAAATGTAAGGTGTCCTGGGCCTTAACCTTTCTCAGGTGTTTCCCAGTGTAATGGCAGCATCCGCAGGATGATTAGCAGCCGCGGGCCTGCCATCTACCGCTCACAAGAAGATGCTGAGCTGAAAATTGATCCCAGTTTGGAACGCAGACATCTGCTCGATAGACCTATTGTTATGCTATAACTTCAGAAAGTACCAATCAGCGGATGCAAACTAGGAAACTTATATGCCCAGAATACTGCAGGGTGTCAACCAAAACCAACAACGTGCCGTATCCCGTTGTATCCCCCCCTCAGTTTTGGGCAACGCATGTAACACCAGGCAAAGAGTACTCAGGGAGATGCCGGGGAGCTGATCCCTCTTACAGCGCAACAATGAAATCCATGGACACACTCTCCCAAGGAGCCCCAGGGACAGCCAAAGCAGACCTGTTGTGCTGGCATGAATTATTGGAAGGGGTGTAATTCCCCACATCCTTAGGCATTCGAGGCCACTCTGCTCTCCGAAATCTTGATCTGCAAAGATGAAAGGTGCCTTATGAATCAGCGTTCCCTTTCACAATTGCAGAGTGCGTGACCCCAAACCGAAGGGTGCCCCCATACCGTGAAAACACAGAAGGCCGTAAGATGTACATGGTGGGTGCAGGCAACTCGAGCAACATGTACATTTGCTCAGTTAACAAAGCGGGTCAACACAGCGGCGCAGAGCAACCCGACCCAAGACAGTTTATCCCCATTCGCAAGCCTAACATGCGACCAAGCACAGGTACTAGGCGTCATCCCAAGTCGCTTCACCTTGCAGAAAGTAGTAAAGTCGTTGCTGGTGCCAGGATCAGCAAGCGCGAGCAGAGAACAGCTGACGACGCGGACTTGGATCAAGGGCACCTTTTGTAGTAGCTGGCCGCCGCTGAAAATGCCTCCCGAGATGCTGGTTAAGCGCTTTGCACGTATCTGTAGTTGTTACGTGTGCCGTACTGTGTACTAGTTCCTACACCTTTTCACCTGGCAGAGCAGCGGTCTGAGGAGAGAGCAGCGAAGCTGGAAGACGAGGTGAAGTGTCAGGGATCGTACCAGGCATGAGAAGCATAAGTCAACTCAGTAAGTAACACATGCCGACCGTCCAGATCGAGTATGTTAAACAAAAACGTTCCTGGACGAAACAGCAAAACACGCTGCATCCCGGTGAGCAGAGCTGAAACCCTCCAAACAGAATACGAAGGATTAAGGATACGCAGTGCGGATTCCAAGTGCTGACGCTTGCAGAGGTGGTGCCTCGTTCGCTGCATCTGCAACTCTGAACTGGAAGAGGGGAGGAAGAGGACCGCATGCCCGCGCAGGTCATTAGCAGAGAGAGACAGGGAACATGGCACAAACAGATTACACAAAGCATCCGTTATATCCACAACTTAGCTACAGCAGCAGGCAAGCAATTAAACTAACGTCTATGGTCCCCATCTCGGTACTCGGTACACAGCAGGTGACATGGACACCACGGGGGGTGTTAACGTGCATGGGAACCTCACCCTCAAGGCAGACTACTGTGGCACTATTGATACACAGCAGGGTCAGAACCTTGCCACCGATCTCAGGGCGGAGCTGGCCGCCATCTTCGAGGTAAGTGGGAAGGAAGCTAGTCTCATGTGTTTGAAGTACAACTAGTCAGCAGCTGCAGGGTTCTATGCATAGTCAACATGAAAATATTTGTGATGTGCATTCATCGTAGTACTAGTGCTGCTTGACTATGATAAGCTCCTGATGTGCATGTATCGGTCAAACATGCATTCCTATAATTTTGGACTATTATACTATTTTGATGTTGTTACAGAGTGGGTTGCCTCTGGGCGGATCTTTCACACATTAATTGATCTAGAATTGAACACCACAGAGCACCATACACCATTACCACACTGTACTACACCATATGTCCTGCAAGTCCTAGGCGGATGCTTCTGCCTTCTAGAAGCTTCTAGATGGTGGGCTTAAGCCCACCTCATCCAGTCACCCGAACATCCTTACAGAGGCAGAGGGTCCAGCAATTATTTGTACATACAGTAAACCTCATCATGGTTGGCAATATGTTCGGGTGTCCGATGCTAGATAGACAGACATAGATAGACAGATAGATAGACCAGGATAGATCGACACATTGATGCCCTCCGTCGCTTGCTTTTGTAATGAGTGTAATGCATGTGCAAAAATCGTCAGTAGAAACTCGATCATCTATAGGTGATCGACCATTTTACAGACGATTGCATGTACAGGTCCATTGCAAGTAATCGTTTGCCGTTTATTGTAAGAAGGGATCATTACATCCCCTCTAATTTTAAATTTAAATGTTATATGATCATGACCTTCTGTATAAACGTGTATGGATTGTATCTAATTAGATAGGGACCGTCCCAACATCCGATTACTGTACTAGGACACCACGCACATCATATATTATTATTGTTGTTATTAATAATAATATTATTTATTATTATTGTTGATGGGGTGTTACACTGTGGGCGGCTCGCCCGATAAGACGAGCACCGGGGGCCCTGACCGGGCCGAAACACAGCGCAGGGACGGGCGCGCGGCTCTACGTCCGTCTGTTCCTCCGCGCGCGCCTCATTCCCTCACTCATGCCAACCGGGACACTCTCCCAGCCCCTGGCTAGGCAACACAGCGGCGCAGAAGACTGCGAACCGATCTATGCAAGAACCGCACGAAAGGCGCCACTTCGCCTGGCCTGCCTATTCGTGCGCTCTCGTCCCTCTTGACCGCCAAAACAAGAACAAAAAGAAAACACCACCGGGGTCAGGGGCTCTATTCGGGGGCCTCCTCTACACACTCAAAAACCAGGGCCCCACACAGCCAGCAAGGCAAGGGATACACGGAGGACCACGGGCCTGAGACGACACACCACAACAGCCGAGATACGGATGCACAGAGAAGACCAACACAAAGCGAGTACTCGCACACTGGTCCTCGAAGGCCAGTTGTTCAACTACCACGAGCAACGAACAACGAACACTTCCCGAGGGTGGCCACCACTGGTCCACTCACAAACGAGGCGAAACTGGTCCGCACGTCAGTCTCCTCCTGGGGGTTGCGGGCTCTCGGATGCAGCCCAGCGCGAGACATAGCAAAAACACCTATAGCCGCGGGGGGGATGGCAAGCCAGCACGGCGCCCCCCTATAAAGCCCGGAAAAGGCACGGCTCACAGACGCCGCCTGCTCCCGCTTACCACACCGAAATCCCTCCCCTCCTGACCCTGACCGGCCGGGACCAGCAACACCTGTTCTCCACCTCCAAACCACTCTCCTCCACCGCTTTCCCACCTCCTCTCGACTCCCACAAGCCACCTACGTGTTCTCTACTCTGATGCCAGACAGCACAGAACCCATTCCCCTCACTCCGACTGGCCCCAATTCCAATAATATTATTTATTATTATTATTGTTATTATTATTATTATGTTTATTATGTTTATTATTATTGTTATTATTTTTTATTTTTATTTTTATTGTTATAATATTATTATTATTATTATTATTATTATTATTATTATGTGAATTGTACATGTGTAAAGCATTTAGCAATATTTACATTCAGATCCTTGCCTCTCCTCGCAGGTTCCCACAGACAACATCCTCATCACCAGCCTCAGCTGTAATGACCCAACAATTACCGCTAACTACGTGGTTCAGCTTCTAGACAGCGCCCCAACAGATGCTACGGTAAGCACTCGATTGGCTGGGCGGGGCAGGATTATGGATGTATTGTGGCTGCTGTTGTTGTTTGGTGTAACACCAGGCAAAGAGTACTCAGGGAGATGCCAAGGGCGCCGAATAATCCTTGCACTTGGGAATATAATACGTGTACTACGTACTACTGCTGTATGCATGGATGCGTCCGTAAAAGTTTCGATCACCTATAGGCGACGCTGTCGTGTATATATTATACCAGGTGAGGACGATACCGTCCGCACCTATATGGGGAGTGTCAGACATGAGAGTGTCGCCTGTAGGTGATCAAGATTTTACTGACGTTGCTTCCACCTAGTAGATGGAAGCCATACATGCATACAACAGTAGTGGCCATGGGTGCATACTAGCTAGGTCTGCGAAGCAAGGCGCAGCAGGACAGGAAACTACGTGCAGAAGTGACTGCATGGATATAGGCAGGAGGGCCATAAATTTGCATAGTATAGTTGAACGAAGGTATCAGGTATATGTATGATGTTGTTACAGGGTGGTACAGCTTCACCAGCGGCTCCCTTTCCCGAGGTGGTTCCCTGCTCTCCCCTGCTAGAGGGGCACCCTAATCCATTCACCCCATCCGATTTCAGAATGTACTCGTTGTGTTCAGCAACTCACCACCAGCATCCATCCAAATCTAGCGGATCATCGGCGCCACAACTTAGTTTCAGGTCAGCTCGCAAGATGATATAACCATTTCCTACACTGTCCACAAGACGGGGGCCCACCTCCCAATTCAATGCCCATCACACACCAAGATGTCAGCAGGCGAATTTGAACCTAGAACATCCGGAAGCAGAATCAGGCCTTAACTTCTGCCAGCCATCTACTTGTATGTATGTCCTTGCTCATTGGCAACCAGGCTGGTTTGGGTATACATAGGTTAGGTACTACTGGTAACTCGCAACCATTGCCTCCGGGAGATCCTGGGATTGAGATCTTTCAGGGTCAAAATTTCTTCCGAGGTTTTGCGCCCCTAGTTTATGGTGACCTGGGATAAAGTTAATCTGCGAGCTGACCAGGAATGGAGTTGGGCCGCCGTCGATCCGACAGATTCCATTGGATGCTGGTGGTGGGGGCGGAACCTGAGCTAACCACTGAGAAGTTGACTAGAGCGACTAGATGAGGGTGCCCCGAAATACCGGGGAAGGCAGGGTTTCGCCAGGTAGCGGCCACGGGTGAAGATATGTCCCCCTGTCCCCACACATCACACATACACACATACACACATACACACATACACACATACACACATACACACATACACACATACACACATACACACATACACACATACACACATACACACATACACACATACACACATACACACATACACACATACACACATACACACATACACACATACACACATACACACATACACACATACACACATACACACATACACACATACACACATACACACATACACACATACACACATACACACATACACACATACACACATACACACATACACACATACACACATACACACATACACACATACACACATACACACATACACACATACACACATACACACATACACACATACACACATACACACATACGCATTCATACCAGGACCCCGGAGGTGCAAGTAAGACCCAGGCTCTTCACCTAAGTGAATCCACGCATGCATGCGCGTATGTCTACATGCATATTTAGCAGCGACACGTTCGTATGTCTTTTTGTTGCCTTTTTTGCCTATAGATTATGTCCAATAACACTAAGTAGGGACGGTCCCTATCTAATACGTCAGGGCACGATTTTTAGACCGTAAAAATTGTACAGACGGAATTGCAGCAATCATTGCTATAATAATTGAATTATTCATAGCTCGGGCGCAAGAGGCACGGCCCCTATGATAGGAAATGCAGTCATACATGTAAGTATGTAAGTACATGCAGAAACAGCTCATGGATGGCCGCCCGTGGGCCACTATAGAATAGATACGAGGGGCCGTAAGAAGGTCACGCCCGTGAGTCAACACGGCATAGCAGAATGTATGACCGGTCCTTACATAGCCAAACACGCAAAAGGCAACGACTTGAACGCCGAACGAACACCAAAACAGCAAGATAAGCCTGAATTTTTTTCCTGATAAAGGTGTTTGGGACGGCGGTGCTGTTGTCGGTAATGCATCGGCAATGGTGTTGCTGCCAGCAGCGACCGATGACACGGGCACCATTACCCCTGCCTTCCATGGCGGTTGTGATCAGCATAAGCGCAAGCTGTCACCCAATCAGCTCGACAACAACAAATGCGGCGAGGCGCCCAACCCGAGCGCTCGCAGTGCCAAGCGGGCTCAGACACAGCACATTTACGCGGACTTACTTATTGCTCACAAACAGTGCCAGAACTATCTATGCATGTGCATGAAGAGTGCGCACATGAACGAAAACGCGCCAACACAGTGCGTGCCTCTTGGTCTATGAGGGGAGTTGTAACTTATCGGGGGGGGGTCTGGGGGGGGGTGTAGCCCCCCCCAGCACCCCACTCTTAAGGAATACATTACGGCGACGCTAGCAACTTTGTTACTTAGGTTGGAATAAATTGAGACCCCCCCTAAATGAAAAACAAATCACTGCCCGTGGCCAGCAGCCATGATTGGTAGCTAGCTTATCATTACCACCTCGCTCAACATATGTAAATATGTGGTAGGCAAGGTGCGCACCAATAATCCTGCTGGGATGGAAGGTTTGCCGGCTGCCTGTATAGGAGGCTTTGTCGGCTGCCTGTATAGGAGGCAAAACACTATCTTTTACAGGTCAAGCTTCTGGGACACTAGCATGGTATATTGATGCGTGGATGTGACTCGCTTGTGTACTATTGCTGCGATGTCTACCTACTGCAATGCTTGATCAGTGGTCACGCCCTGCAAATATATTTGCCACATCCACCACATGCATCCCTTGACAGCAGGCCGTCATGGATGCGGCTACCAGAGCCGACAGCCTTGCCGCATATGTCAGCAGTGATTTCACATCCCAATGGGGTGGCATTCTCACATCACATCTGGAGGGCATCGTGCAGGCGGCACCACCACCACCACAACAGCAGGAGCAGAAAGAGCAGTCTCAGCAGCAGTCACCTGAATCTACTGCAGCAGGTGCGTGTATGTGTGTGCGTGAAATGTACGGAAGATCAGCCTGCATAAACAGCTACGTAGCTAGCTAGGCAGGGTAATTGATGATCGGACGTACTTACACTGTATAGTAACCAACATCATGGTGACTGAGAATAATTGCCATTTATTTCCTCAGTGCTGTATGTTATCCACGCTAATAACTCCATGACCATGTTTGTGCGTGTCATCGGAACCCGCAATTGATGACCCACCATCGCCAGCAGAGGCCAACGCCGTCACAAGCTCAGCATCGCAAAGTGGCCAGAAGACCTCCAACGGCAAAATTGCACTCATCGTGCCACTATCGGCAGCAGGAGTCGCTATCCTCGTTATTCTAGTGGTAATGGTCAGCCTGAAACTCGCCAAGGCCAGGCGTAAGATGAGGACGGTGCCGTTGAACGACCCACCATCACCGTCAAGACGTATGGCCTGGAAATAGGCTGCCGATTGTCACCAATAAGTGCGTAGGATCTGTAGTAATTGGAAAAATGTTTTACAATTTGCAACCTGTCTGCAATCAACAGGTACCTTCGTACACGTCGGCAGTCGGGCACTATTGCATAGGATTGCAGCGCATGCATCTGTGACCATCTTAGTATAATGTAGCCAAACACGTCCTTCACGTGTGTGCCGTGCGTGCATATACCAGCCGCTTTGCATATATCATTCATTCCTTGCACATTTGGCACACAGCTGGCCTTGTGCAAAGGCTTGCCCGCAGTAACACTGTGTGTGTGTGTGTGTGTGTGTGTGTGTGTGTGTGTGTGTGTGTGTGTGTGTGTGTGTGTGTGTGTGTGTGTGTGTGTGTGTGTGTGTGTGTGTGTGTGTGTGTGTGTGTGTGTGTGTGTCTATCCCATTAGGGCAAACATCAGAAGAGCTTACGGCAGTAATACGTAATACATCCTGCTGCTGGCCACCTTTTTTAAGTTAGGAGTAATGCTGATTATGAAATGGCTGCGTGTCGGCCGATTTCGCGGTGCATCGTGTTGACCTTTGTCTACCTTTTTGATTGTCTACAGATCGCATCCTGGTATGACAGGAGGGACGGTCCCTATCTCACATACCAGGACACGGTTTCAGACAATCAGAACTTTCGTATATATTCTTTTACCTAGAAGCTCGGTGAACAATGTAGTAGGGAGGTGCCGCCGCCAAGCCGCTTTCACAGCTCCCATGTACAATACATATGATATATATAAATTTAGAGCGTCTTCAGGCAGGCGGCGCCGTCCACCCATGCATCAATCCAAGATACACGCACTGCATAATGAGCCATACATGGTCCGTGATGAGCTTCCTAATTTATTTGCTAGGCCTATCGAACCCATCAAGTGAATGGCGTGCATTCAGGCCCACCATGGTCATCGTATATGCATCCTGCTGTCTGGGCCAGGGTGCAGGTTTCGCCTTGCTTGGTACCTCTTCGTGTTTTATTACCTGGCCTCTGCAGCGTGTTTAGAGGTGTGTGTGTGTGTGTGTGTGTGTGTGTGTGTGTGTGTGTGTGTGTGTGTGTGTGTGTGTGTGTGTGTGTGTGTGTGTGTGTGTGTGTGTGTGTGTGTGTGTGTGTGTGTGTGTCTGCGTGTTTGAGATAGACCGAGAAGCCCTGGTTACGCAGTAGACAGGTTACAGCTGTTACTCGATCCTCATTATTATTTCCCTAGGGGTTTCCCTGGGATCTCTTCTTAGCAGGAAGTGTCGGCTGGCCAGGGGGCGGAGTATCTGGAGTTGCTTGGCACTGTCCGGGCCGTCGTACGGGATTTGCCTTGGTGCTTTGCTAGTAAGGGACGATCTCGCTCTCCTGGTCTGTCTGGACTGTCTGGACGTGGGCGGAAGCAGCAGCTGCAGCAGCTGCAGCTTCACACCAGCGGTGGTCGGCCGGCTCGTGCGGTCTGCAGATCTGCTGCTTATTATTAGCTTGGCATGCCCCGGTTCTAGCCGGCATGCTCAGTTATTTTGAATTACTACTGGTTAAAACCGCATGCACCTGTTGGTTACTAATCAACAGGTAGTACATGCAGTACATGTAGTACATGTTTGGTTGTATGTGGCGTACATGTATTTTGTACGGCAAGTGATGGCTTTTTGGGGGGAATTACTTTGTCCAGTACGGTACTCATATCATCTATAGCTGCGTTTTAAGGCGCTAGACCTTTACAGCGACCGTCTACTGTAATTGTATTGAGATAACGCACATGCATGCGGATCTGGAGTCGTCATCAGTTCAACCTTGATATGCTCGACAGTAAATGAAATAGCGGGTGATGACCGGCAGGTCATCAATCCTGACAAACCTCTCCCTGCACGAGTATCATGACAGATTTTGTAGCTGCGATTGAAAGGGGTACCTGTAGAAGCTGTATACCGTAGTATAAGTATACCTATAGTATACGCAGTACTGCACACATACCAACTATAACTACGCGCGAAGCACTTCACCAGCATCTCGGGAGGCATTTTCAGCGGCCAGCCACTGCAGTACCTTCATAATCTAAAGATGGCGAGGCGCATGTGAGTCAAGGCACATGTCGTGGCGCATATTAAGCGGCTACTGCCCGAGGGTAAGAGAAGGTAGGCACAGGCTGACGTGGCCGTAAGGGCCCCAGCCGGGAAGCAATGAAGTAGCGGTGCATAGTACAGCACACATCTCGTCTTCAAATACGTGCCAAGGCGTTCTACCCAGCGAGGCATCTTCAGCGGCCAGCTGGTAGCTACAGCCCTGGTATAATAGTTAGGGGCCGTCCATTCTATTATACCAGGGTGCCATCTTTAGGCGTTGCCAAGTTTTACAGACGTTGCAGCTACTACAGCAGTGGAAACAGGGAGTAGTAGTTTAGGTAGAGTTAGGGTACAAAAACGGCCGGTGGCCGGTGTTGGGCGGCTACATTTAATGAAAACCCACAACGAAAACCCACCACCCTGTTGCCCGCAAAGGGCTTTGGTGCAAAAACACGGGTGCGTGGGAACCTAACGCTCACATTTCGGAGGACGTCTGTATGCCACGTCTGGGTAGGAATAAAACTTGCGAGTTGCAACATCATGACCTGAAACTCGGGAACCCATCTACAGCAGCAAAAGAATTCCAAGAGAGAGGACAGCGGCCATCCGTAGCACCAGCTCGCTAGCCACATACAGAAGCCTTCCTGAATGTTTACTTTGACCAGCAGGTCTCCGCGGCAGGTTTAAACAACTCGCTAGCTCCTACTTCCTCACACAATTGCAACCCGCAGCACGCTCTCATCACACCACCCAGCTGCTATGTACAGCCTGCTCCTGTTTAAAAAGCAACCGTAACCGCTCGTATGCAGGAAGGAAAGCCTAAGCATACCCAGCGACCTCACACGCCCACCATCAGCGCCTCAGCAAGGTAGGCAACAAAAGCAACCAACCTGCAACTACGAGAGGACAAGAATCTGGCTGGGAACCCCACATCATATCCACCGCCATGGCAGCTAAGGCAGCTACGTCATGAGGTACAGCTATCATAGCTATACCTGATGGACGCTATGATGGATGCCTGGGTTCGATCCTGGTTCATGCCTGAGATCCCCCCGAGAAGTTGTCGGAGAGTGGTGAGCTATTAGTCTCCACCCAGTGGGGGGAGGCCGATGGGACAGGAGGGTGACCCACCAGGCAGCGGTTCCGCCGTCCATAAGTCATCAACTATTGCATGCCACCTTTCAACAATTCCCACGGCAATTGCTATACATGATCTGCTGGTCCTAACGCATCTCACGGCAACAGGGTTCCGCTGATGCCGGTCGTAACCGCGTCGTTTTCTTCTTACTTGCCTTAGAACATATGTCGATGTGGGGCCGTGATACAGCAGGCATGGTGGTGAAACAGCAGCAACCTCCTCAAAATGCCAGTCATTTACAGTACCCGTCTAAGGATCTTCCTTAAGCCATTGAAAATTATTGAGTGTGTTGGAAATGACCGACACTCATATACCAGTGGATGGTAACAGCAGTAATAGGACCCCCACTGGTATATGAGTGTCGGTCATTCCCAACAGAGTGTTCTTCATTCACTCTGTCCCCTACTGTGACACTGCGTCAGACGTCTTACATGACGAACCGGCATGCCTGACGGTTTGTCGCATTCCGGGCCGCTTGCTCCTTCGCAGCCCCCTACGTACGTCCTAGCCCTAGGCCTGCAGCAGCTCTGCATACAACTGTTAAGAGTAATTACTTTTGCCTTTCTGTTAGTGCTCTGGTTTTGCTGGTTGCTAGTCATATGTGTGTACTCCAGTTAATGGCCGTAATGGTAGGAAGTCATCATCCTGAGCGAGTAGCACAAAATTGATTAGCTTTGGAACCACAGGCCAAAAGTTATTTGGACATAAGCTTTTTCAGCATTTGTTCGTAGAAGCAAGGACGCGTATATGCACTGGTACGTTATTAGTTGTTGCTCCATAGGTAAATGCCATTTTCTGTTACAAATAATGAAAGAGAGAAAAGGACTGAGAGACCCGAAGAAGACGGGCCTTACGAACATTTTCTGTTACAAATAATGAAAGAGAGAAAAGGACTGAGAGACCCGAAGAAGACGGGCCTTACGAACGGAGAAGAGACACCGCAACGGAACTAACGCGAGGCTGCGCCAGAAACGGGCGGGCGGGCGGGCGCGCGCTGAACAACAAAAACAAGATAAGCTAACCAGCTTAATGCGCGCAATAAATGACGGCCCTGAGGACACGGGCCGTTGCGAAACAGTTAGTCTAACAGTTACGCATTGGGCCTTACGCCCAACTAACCCAGCTTACTTACGCAAGCTCGCATTAGTTGTTGCTCCATAGGTAAATGCCAAAGGAGAAGATACCCCCTCTAGCGGAAATAACAAACAAACTGAGCACCAAAACAGCGCAACGCGACGGGCCGCTAGAGGGACAAAGGACGCGAGAGCTGCCAGACAGGCACACACACCGACACGAAATAAAGCTCCCCAAGCAAAACGCCTCAACGACCTCCAAACGATACTCCAGCAGCAAGGACGGCGGACACGCCATCTCTACACAGGCAAAAGAGCGAACAAACAGAACGCCGCCAAAACCACAAGGACGAGGTCAAACCAGCGCTCTCCAACTGCGCACAGACTGACCCACCGGCCACAAACGCGACGGATCCCACAACAAACGCTGACGGACGCCCACTGAAGGAATGGACGAAAGACACGCGAGAATGCCAAACATGTGCCCGCTAAGGGTTGACTAAACGGCCAACTAGGGCTGGCACTGAAAACCGGCTCTGCAATAACGACCGGTCCACGCGCCCAGTGCACTGACAGCAGGGATACGGATGACGAAACCCAGCACAACAAAGCAAGGTCGGGGCCACCTCCGAACCAACAGGTACACCGGCCAACTGCTCAAAGAATCCACACAGCACCTGCAATAAAGGCCAACACAAAGAGAGTCTGACAGAGCCACGGAGTGCCGCAAATGCAACCAACTACTATAAAAACGCCGCCAGCAGGGGCTGTCTCCAGCACAGGGCGCTCTTGGTTAACCGAGCGAGTCATACACGGAGCTCACGGAGTTCACGGCACTGAAAATCAGGCTGAGCAGCACGGGCTTGGATAAAACTCTTGGCAGCTAGGAACTGACCCCACAGGAGCCCGACATAAACGGAGTCATAAAGAGCCCCAGCCTACCGCGACACAGAAAACGCACAAACACAGCGATGCAAAACTGCCAGGTCGTAGCACCAACCCTGGGACAAGGTAACCTGGCAACCGGCAAAGACATGCGGAATGGACCAACCCTAGGCCGGCGAGCGACAGCTGCGATACCAACAGGTTATCAAAGACCGGGGATGTCGCAACGGATTGCAGATCCAGCGAGAAACCGGGACCTATTCCGCGCCAAAGGTACTACTCGAATTTAGTCCCAAAACCAGCGGGGTTGGAACCAGCGGTACCACCGGATACCAAGCAAGTGAAACCGCTCCGAAATCACGAGAAACCAAACGCAGGTTAACACCAAGCGACGAAAAAACCAACTACCTGCGCGGTGCCTAAGGAGCGCACACACGACAAATCCCTACCTGTTCGCTCCACATAACTGCATAACCGCTCCCCTGGCGCAAAGCAACTACGGCGTTCCCTCAAAGATGGTCCCACTGCCCCTATAACAAATAACACGGCCCACGGGGAAGGGGGAAATGCTAGGAAAGCGCTCCTAGCGGGGCACACACACGGCCGAACTTGCAGCGCCTCACGGAACGACCGAGTGCTAAGCAAAGCGCCCACTCTACGACTGCACCCGCACTGCCACGACCTGCCAGGAAGGGGTGGTAGATAGGTGCTCGACCCGCCCTCGCCCGGCGCAAACAGCTCTGTATTGGACGGCAGGAACACAAGGTCAACCGCCAACTCCATCAACTGTTGCCACCAAGGTTGGGCCGTCCAGTACGGCACGACTAGGGTGAGGCACGCTCCCTCCTCGCGCACTTTCTGCACCACAGCGAGCAAGAAGTCGGGGTCCAAGGGTGGGCAGCCATATGCATTAAGCCCTGCCCAAGATTGCAAGAGAGCATTGACCCCCGATGAACCCGGACAATGGTGGCGAGAAAAGAAAACCGGGAGGTGCGTGTTAATATGCGTGGCAAACAAGTCGACATGGTGCGGACCGAAGCGGTGCTCCAAAAGGCGGAAAAACCGGGGATGCAAGCGGTAATCATCACGGTCTACCCAACGCGAGGCTTCATCTGCCTCGTTGTCAGCACTAGCCACACGCTCGACTTGCAGAACAATACTATGTTTCTGCATGAATTCCCATAATAATTTTAGTTCGGCATGCAGAGCTGCCGAGCGCGAGGAA